GATCATTTGCGCCAAGCTCTTCAGCGATCTCCAGATTATTTACAAGTGTTTCCTTATTTGACAAGACTAGGTCGAGCAAATTATTGCCCCTGTTAGGCTCTGCTACACACTGCTTCAGAAAACAGTCCTGAACTGTTTCCATAAAGTCACTGGACTCCAGATTACCGGTCAAAGAATTCCAGTCAATTTGACTAAAGTTAAAATCCCCTACTATTACTACATTATTGTGTCTAGAAGCCCAAACAATTTCGTCCCAAAGAAGTCTCCCTCTATCGTGATCCAAGCCTGGAGGTCGGTATATACACCTAGAATTAGTTTTTCTTGACCTTCTACAAACTCTACCCAAACAGATTCCGTTACTATTCCATCTACCTTTTTACCTGTTTTTATGCAACAGTTAATATTTTCTCGAACATATAATGCAACTCCTCCTCTCTTCCCATTACATCTATCCACATGGAACAACTTACACCCTTGAATATAACACTCAGCAATCATATCCCGACTCTTTAAATCATACCACATTTCAGTTAATGCAATGACATGAATGTTCCCAGCACATGTTACCAAATGTAGTTCATTAATCTTATTTCTTGCACTTCGACTGTTAGCATAAAATACCATCATATGTTTTATCTTCTGCACATTTTTCCTTTTCACCTTTGCTTTTACACAATTTCTGAAATTATCATTACCCAGCATTATTCCATGACTGTTATTATTAAGATTCTTAATATCAAAGCCTAAGTCAATATATCCACACTCATTATTTTTCATTTCTAAACCCATACCTCTAACTAATCCTAGTTTAAAGTCCTAACAACCCCTTCAACTGAGCTTGCAAGAAAACCCACACCTGCCCAGGATAAGTGAACACCGTCCCTGGCATACCTGTCATTTCGGCCATAGAGGTGGTCCCAGTTGTCAATGAATGGTACTGCATTATCCTTACAGTGTTTGTCCAGCCAACAATTAATACCAATTTCTCTGGACAACCATTCATTTCCAACACCTTTTCTTGGCAAAATGCCACATATAACAGGGTGCCCCCCCTTCTTCCTAATGATGCCTATTGCTGTCCTGAACCTTCTAACTAAATCCTCACTTCTACGCTTGCCTACATCATTGCCTCCAGCACTGAGGCAGATAATAGGATTGATCCCATTACCAGTCGTGATGTTGTTAAGCCGACTAACAATATCCTCCATCTCAGCCCCAGGAAAGCAAACCCTCTGTCTCCTACTCTTATCCTTTAAGCAGAAGACCTATCCATATACCTAACCTGGCTATACCAACAACAACATTTTTACCTTCCTTGGTGTCGTTTATCGTGACGTTCCCAGTAGTCGACTCACATTTGTTGGATAGTGCGGAGAATGCATTAGATGTTTTCATCAGCAGTTTTCCACGGAAGTTTCTTCATCATTTCTACTTTTCCATTCGTCTTCTTGATTGTCAACTTCGTTCCATGCTGTCCAGCCACTGTCCAGGTTCCCTTCTTGACCTGAGGACTCACGACAGGAGGGCTACTATGAATCCTCTTGTTTTCTTCAGTCAATCGTCATATCTCTATCTTCGCTACCCTCAATTCCTCCTTAAGCTGCTGGTAAAGTTGCTCGATGGAGGGCATCTTGGTTCAGTTCACAGAGAGCACACAAGACACGTCTTCACAGAGTTAAGTACAGGTCACCACTGAGTTAGGTACAGGTCACCACTGAGTTAGGTACAGGTCACCACTGAGTTAAGTACATATTGAAGTATTTTGTTGTACCTCCTAAGAGCAGGAATTCTGCTGGAATGGATTAATGCCATTTCAATTAATTTAAATGAGGAAAATTGACTTAGCATATGAACAAATTGGGATATGAACAAGGTCATGGAACGGATTAAATTTATAAGCTGAGGTTTCACTGTATGTATTAGACAAGAGATAGCCTGTGACCGTAATGAAGCATCACTTTGTGTAATTAAAAAGAATGAGGTAAATATATGAGTTTGTGTGATGAATAACTGATTGACTTAACTGATTTACTTGACTGATTTACTGACTGACTTGACCGATTTACTGACTGACTTGACTGATTTACTGACTGATTTGACTGATTTACTGATTTGACTGACTGACTGATTGACTTAAAGTTAGACATTTTCACTGAAGAGGACCCTAAAACGGTGTCTAGAGCAGCTGATGCCTTACCGTCAGTTGTAGTATAATGTTCTGCAGGGTAAAATAGAACAGAAATCCATTACAGAATTTATGCACACTCCAGTACAACCATCGACTTCAGTACCAGAACCTCTGTCATCCACCTCAGCCCAGTAGGGCCACAACATAACTCTCCACTCTCTTCACAATCATTCACAAACACCAGCACCCACAATTTAAAGTAAGAAATATTATTATTTCTGTTGCATTTGTAGTTATAAGCAGTAAAAACAACATAATACATCACGTGTGTGATGAATGGTTTTGAAAACTGACAAGTTGAAAAATTGAGACACTTGTGCAACATATGGGAATCTATATTGAAGAAACGTTTTGCCACACAGTGGCTTCATCAGTCCAATACAAAGTAGAAATGTGTAAGGGACTGATTACCTCAATCTCCTCCTCTCCTTACACATTTCTACTTTGTATTGGACTGATGAAGCCACTGTGTGGTGAAACATTGCTTCAATAAAGATTCCCATATGTTGCATAAGTGTCATAATACATCACGACAATGAACTACAGTTGCATATTCACTTTTATTTTTTGTAAGATCTGGAGATCTAAAAAAAAAAGTTGTTTGGCTTCTTTGGGGATCCCAGGAATGTAATCCTATTTTTTCCCATAAGTTCTTCAGTTTATCTAACATAGATTTACCTAACACGGCATTTTCAGGAAGCTAACTATCGTGTAATATAACAATCTATTGTATAATCTGAGAGAGGAAGGGTTAGTATATATTTATAGTAAGCATAGTGAAGTGAAGTTGTGCGACAAGTGGTGAGTGTGGAGTCTGCCTAGTTTGATTTGGCAGGTCTGTTGGGGTGCTCCTCTGAATTTTTTTTTTTTTTTGTGTGTGTGTGGGGAAAATGATGTAGAAATTTCCTTGCAAAAAACTGTTGTTTTGGTTGAAATTTGTGGATATACAGATGAGTGCTGATTTGAGGTTTCTAGGTCTGGGTGTTTTCATTGACAATGAGTAGTGCACTCTTGTAGCTAATTGAGTTGTTTTGGAAGTTTCAGTGTAAAATGCAAGCATTCAAGTCATCACTTCTGCTGATGTATTGGTGTTGAGAAATGCATTTGTGGAGGTCTCAGATGTTTCACCTGTGTTTATTTTGTTACAGTTGTAAATGATTGTGTATATCACTGCATTGGTAGTGATAGATACTTGTGGTAATTGTTTGGGGAGTGTGTGTGTGTCACTTGCCTGCCCCCTTCCCCCTCCCCATGCTTGTTAAACCCTTTCAGGGTCTGTGTCATAGATCTATGGCTTTACGTTGAGGGCCCACACCGTAGATCTACACCATGAGCTCAGCTCACTCTGATAAGCTGTGAGTGGTAAATTTGGGCCTAGATATGAGAGAATTGTAGGTAGTAGGTTGGTATACAGCAACCACCCAGGGAGGTACTACCGTCCTGCCAAGTGAGTGTAAAATGAAAGCCTGCAATTGTTTTACATGATGGTAGGATTGCTGGTGTCTTTTGTCTGTCTCATACATATGGAAGATTACAGGTATGTCTTGCTACTTCTACTTAGGTCACACTACACATACATGTACAAGCATATATATACACACCCCTCTGGGTTTTCTTCTATTTTCTTTCTAGTTCTTGTTTATTTCCTCTTATCTCCATGGGAAAGTGGAACAGAATTCTTCCTCCGTAAGCCATGCGTGTTGTAAGAGGCAACTAAAATGCTGGGAGCAAGGGGCTAGTAACCCCTTCTCCTGTATATATTACTAAATGTAAAAGGAGAAACTTTCGTTTTTCCTTTTGGGCTACCCCGCCTCTGTGGGATACAGCCGGTGTGTTGAAAGAAAGAAAGAATATGAGAGAATACATCTATGTGGTATGTGTGCACGACATAAAACAAATCCTGCAGCACACAGTGCATAATGGGAGAAAAAACTGAGACCATAATTTTCGATTAAAACAGGGACTTTGCAGTGTTTTTTTGTATGTTTTTTATAGTTGTATTTGCAATTTCTTGGTCTCATTTGATAGAATGGAAGATATATTACAGAAATAGAGATGATTTTGATTGCTTTTAGTACTGAAAATGGCTTGAAACTGAGCTCAAAGTAGCGGAAATGTTAAATTTTTGCCGATGTTCGAGAGTAAACAAATGACCTCACACGTCTAATACACGCCAGCTGGTGGGTCTAATATACGCTCACAAATGTGGTGATATTATTTATACAATTATTACAATATTGCATAACAGTAAATCTTCTATTTTTTGGTTGAATAAAAATTCATTATGTGAATAAAAAATCAAAATGGAATTCATTTGTAAAGCCTGAAAATGTGACTGTTGAACAGAGGAAATGTTAGTTTAGTGCCAGGAATGCCTGCATTGTTTATTCTGGACCCTATTTTGAAATTGGAATATTTTGAACTTTGCATTAAATTGGCCAAATTACCAATTTATTTTGTAGTTGAAACAGTTGACTTGGCGATTTCTTGTGCTCAAGCGATGGAATACTAGTAATAGTATTGCTAGCATTACATTACATTACTTTCTATCCTAGTAATACTAGTAATAGTATTACTAGTATTACTAGGATAGAAAATAGAGCAAATATTAAGTAGTGAAATGCATTTTTGGTTCTTCTGTAGAAAGTAATATTGAATCATAGTTATGCATGACTTGTATTTTTGGTAGGCAAGGACAATATTCCTGTGATCAGATTTCCTGTAACTGCTGTATGAGATCAGTAGGTTTTATTAATACTTAACATTTACAATTACACAGTGTTCTACCTGGCTGAAATTGTTTCCATTACAGAACTCTGACATTGATGAGGCTTCTGGGCTAAAAAAGAATTCTGATGCTGAACTGCTTGATCCAGTTGTGAAGAAAGTTCAGGTAAATATTATCTTAGTTACAAATACAGCTAGGTCTCAGTTAGTGCCAATACTGAATCCTGTGAAGTGGTCTCATTATTCAAATTCACACTAGTATTCGAATTATATGTAATTTTGGGCATGATTTAGAATTTGAGGAAAGTAACATTAATTAATTTTGCACTAAATTGAAATTTGTACTAATCAAACTTGTACTAATTGAGACCTTGGTGTACTGTGCAGGTGTTGGCTAGCATATTTCCTGAAATATAAGATGTGAATTTTCTGGAAAAAAAAAAAAGTCAACAAAATATAGTTTATCTTATGTAGCCCTAGTTAAAATTATTGTTTGGAAAAATAAATAAAATTTCAAGCCTTATTATTTCATTGCATATATGGGGAAGCAGTAAATCCATAGGGTTGTACAGGCAGAGTAAATTGAGGTAATCAGGTTTGATCCAAGGAAGGTAAGAGTATCTCTAATTTACAGCCACAAAAGTCTGTTCTATGGTTTGGCTTAAAGGAATGTTGTGACTAGATTGATCTTCAATCTGCATGAGTGAAAGCTTTTCCATGTCAACAAAAAGGTTATCATGTTTTCTTATAACTTTAGTGTTCACTGGTGTAGCAATTCTAATTTTTCTGCAACACTTTCTCCTTAGAGTTCATTTAACCCTTAAACTGTCCAAACATAGATCTATGTTCACATGCGTAGCGCTCTGATCGTAGATCTACTTTTTTTTTACACAAGAAAGCATGTAAAATCGGATGTAGCTCTACATCTGGAGCACTACACATGAACGTAGATCTATGTTTGGATAGTTTAAGGGTTGAAGTAAAAGCCTTACTATGTACATAATAACTTTAAACCACCTGAAACGGAGCCGAGAGAGAGAGATGCAGAGCTTATGGCAACACACCCAGTTTCATTTGTAGAAATAAAGATTATTATTATTACATGTATTACAGTCTCTCCTCACTTAACGATGGAGCTCCACTCCTAGGAACACATCGTTAGACGAGTTTGTCGTTAAGTGAGGATAATACAGTGGACCCCCGGTTAACGATATTTTTTCACTCCAGAAGTATGTTCAGGTGCCAGTACTGACTGAATTTGTTCCCATAAGGAATATTTGTGAAGTAGATTAGTCCATTTCAGACCCCCAAACATACACGTACAAACGCACTTACATAAATACACTTACATAATTGGTCGCATTCGGAGGTGATCGTTATGCGGGGGTCCACTGTACTGTGATGGTAGTGAGTTTGTGTCAACCCTCTTTGATATTGTTTTAATGTCACCTTTGCACCATTTATAACATTTCTGATATATTTTTAAATGTTTATACAATAGTGTACTGTATATTGAAATAAACAGAGTAGATGAAATCAGCTGTAATATATACACCTACCATCCGACTCATGACTGAGTTCGGTTCCGTGAAACCGGTCGTAAGTCGAAATTTACATACTGAATATCAACGAAACATTTTTGAAATGACTTTATTTTATTGTTTTATTTTGGTATTTCATGTTTTACTTTACTTTTTATGCTGTTAGTACTCTATTTATACTGTAAGGTTTAGGATAAACACTGTGTACAACACAAATAGTTGTTTATTTCCCAGAAATTTGGCATAAAAAACACGGTCGTAAGTCGAGTGGTCGTAAGTTGAGCAGGTCGTAAGTCGATGGTAGGTGTACATTATTTAGGTATGAATACTGGTCAGAGAGCCCGTTATAAATCTGATGTGTTGGTAAACGAGTACATTGCTAAGTGAGGAGAGGCTGTATTTTAAGACACCGTGGGGCAGGTGCTTTATAAATGTGTATATAGTGTCAGTGTTTTGGGTGGGCGGTTGGATTTATACATATTTGATACATGTGCACTGGCTGCTGTTGGTGCTTGATGCATTATGCATACATTTGTGGAGCTTTTCCCCCTCAATACAAACACCTTACACTGTGTACAAGTTGTCTTCACCTTGGTGCAGTAGAATACATAGCAACAACACTCCCATTCTCATGCAATACACCCTTTTTAGAGCAAATGATACCATGAATGAAGGCATACTGTATTTCCCACCGAGGCAGGGTGGCCCAAAAAGAAAAACAAAAGTTTCTCTTTTTAATCTTCTTTCTTTCAACACACCGGCCGTATCCCACCAAGGCAGGGTGGCTCAAAAAGAAAAACGAAAGTTTCTCTTAAATTTAGTAATTTATACGGGAGAAGGGGTTACTAGCCCCTTGCTCCCAGCATTTTAGCCGCCTCTTACAACACGCATGGTTTACGGAGGAAGAATTCTGTTCCACTTTCCCATGGAGATAAGAGGAAATAAGAACAAAAATTAGTAAGAAAATAGAAGAAAACCCAGATGGGTGTGTATAGTATATATTCTTGTATATACGTGTGTGGTGTGACCTAAGTGTAAGTAGAAGTAACAAGATGTACCTGAACTCTTGCATGTTTGAGACAGAAAAAAGACACCAGCATTCCTACCATCATGTAAAACAGTTACAGGCTTTTGTTTTATACTCATTTGGCAGGACGGTAGCACTTCCCTGGGTGGTTGCTGTCTACCATCCTACTATCTAAGTTTTATACAGCTCCCTCCAGTAATACTATACACAGTTTCTTTGGTGGTGTTATACATGCACTAGAGAAAATGTGTTAAAGTAGTTATTGCCGTACACTCCTTTATGCCCACCCATTTACCACATGTCATAATTATGTTAATTTATTTAACTAAGATTTTTATATATTTGGTTTATATGATATGGAGTGTGTTTCTTATATAATTTTGAAAAAAAATGTTAGAGATGGATTAACGAAAATGTCTATAATGATGTAATATAGTACAACATTTAACCCCTTCATTGTCCAGACCCCCGATCTGAAATTTATCCACAGCATCGAAGACTTTCCAAAAAATGCTTTGTTATTTTTTCTTAGACAATGGTAGAGAATATTTTTCTGAAGGTAATAAAACAAAAAGTATGAAATTTGATGGAAAATTGATGAAATTACGTTTCGTGAATTTTGCTGTATCAGTGGTATTTACTTATCGGCGGTTTTGCCCACTTTGATTCCTATTTTAGATCAGTTGTTCTAGATCAGCAGTTCAGATTAGGCCTGATAACTAAAGAATTGACAAAATGATACACCTAATACGTAAGTCTTAACGACTGTATTATGCCAATAGATTTAATGAAATAAAAGGAGGTACATGTATGAAAAAGAACTGGAAAATCCTCTTTGAAATTTTGGGCTCTAGAAAATTGTCTTGAAACAGTGAGATAAATTTAATGAAACCAGATGAACCTCACATGAAGTCAACAGACAATGCAAACAAACTTAATGTCTTCTTCTCTACTTTTTGGATCAAAGCTAGCTAACTAAATCCCAAGCTCAAAAAACCCAGCTGAAAGACTACCTTATTGGTAATCACCCGAATACTTTATATCTAGCCCCAACAAATTACACTGAAGTCTCACTCATCATTAAATCATCAAAAAACAAGACAGAAGACCTAAATAACTTGCCACCACTCATAAACAAAAAAGCAGCCCATGTGCTGTCACCCATTATTGCAACACTGTTTAAAAAATCTGATGAGTCCTCAACCTTCCCATCCATACTCAAGACAACAAAGTTACTTCTATCCTCAAAGGAGGTTTATTGAATAACTATAGACCTATATCAACCCTACCTTCACTCTCTAAAATCTTTGAAAAAAATAATAAACAAATGACTATTACCTAATATCCTGCAACATACTCAACCCCTGCCAGTTTGAGTTTAGGTCAAAAAAAAGTACTAATGATACTATTATACAAATGCACAAAATACTTTATACTGTCCTCAAAAAAAAAAAAAATGAATATTCTCTGGGGTTCTTCATAGACCTACGGAAACCGTTTGACAAAGTACAGTGGACTCTCGGTTATCGGCCGTAATCCATTCCAGAAGCTCGGCCTAAAACCGAAATAATATTTCCCATAAGAATTAATGTAAATACAATTAATTATGCGGAATCAAATACAAAATGGGAATTGACACAGTTACTTTTTGCTGATGATACTGTGCTTATGAGAGATTCTAAAGAAAAATTGCAAAGGTTAGTGGATAAGTTCGGGAGTGTGTGTAAAGGTAGAAAGTTGAAAGTGAACATAGAAAAGAGTAAGGTGATGAGGGTATCAAATAATTTAGATAAAGAAAAATTGGATATCAAATTGGGGAGGAGGATTATGGAAGAAGTGAATGTTTTCAGATATTTGGGAGTTGACGTGTCGACGGATGGATTTATGAAAGATGAGGTTAATCATAGAATTGATGAGGGAAAAAAGGCAAGTGGTGCATTGAGTTATAGTGTGGAGTCGAAAAACGTTATCTATGGAGGCAAAGAAGGGAATATATGAAAGTAAAAGTAGTACCAACACTCTTATATGGGTGTAAAGCTTGGGTTGTAAATGTAGCAGCGAGGAGGCGGTTGGAGGCAGTGGAGATGTCCTGTCTAAGGTTAATGTGTGGTGTGAATATTATGCAGAAAGTTTGGAGTGTGGGAAAATTAGGAGAAGGTGTGGAGTTAATAAAAGTATTAGTCAGAGGGCTGAAGAGGGATTGTTGTAGAATGACATGAGAGCATTTAAATCTGTAGAAGGAAGGCGGGGTAGGGTCGTTCTCGAAAAGGTTGGAATGAAGGGTAAGGGAGGTTTTGTGTGCGAGGGGCTTGGACTTCCAGTAGGCATGCATGAGCGTGTTCAATAGGAGTGAATGGAGACGAATGATATTTGGGAACTGACGATCTGTTGGAGTGTGAGCAGGGTAATATTTAGTGAAGGGATTCAGGGAAACCGGTTATTTTTATATAGCTGGACTTGAGTCCTGGAAATGGGAAGTACAATGCCTGCACTCTAAAGGAGGGGTTCGGGATGTTAGCAGTTTGGAGGGATATGTTGTGTATCTTTATACGTATATGTTTCTAAACTGTTGTGTTCTGAGCACCTCTGCAAAAACAG